AAGCACTGCTTCTGACCTGGGCCAACCTCGCCTTTTAACAATGAGCTGGTACTGCAATTACTCTGTAAAACCTGTGATCGGTGGCATCCAGGGAAGCAGTACTAGTTAAAAAGGAACACATGCATCTGATGTCAAGTTTCCTACCTACAGAGAAAGCACTCTGTGGATTAATGCAGAGATCCTTCATGCCAGTCCGTAGCTACGAGTTCGGCAGCTTTGACCTGAGGCCATCTCCATCTCCCATGTTTCTTTCTTTTTGCCACCAGACGTACTCTGTGCACCTCCCATGCATACATGAGGCAGGGCATGGCAGAGAAGCTGGTCATTCCCTGTGTGCCAGCACTGCTTGAGCTGAAATAATCATGGGCAGGCTCTTGAAGATTGCAGGGGCATGGCGCAGAGGCTCTTGTCCCCCAGCTGACATCTGTTGCTCGCAGTTTTCTTTATAATGCCTTTTCTTATCGATCTTTTGGGATGTGGCTGATCTGTCCCGTTGACCTCAGTTCCTGGTCTCTTAGTCCGAAGTATCTGCTGAGTTTATCTTACACCAAGACATCTTTCTGTGTCTCCTTGGTCTGAATCCTGCTCATGGCGAGGAGAGCACTTGGGCAAATCTTCTTGTGTTTATCTTCTGCAAAAATCAGAATGCATTGAAGGATTTCAGAGCTATCTGCACCCATGGCATTGGATAGAGTATTACTGAAGCTTACCTAGTAGATAGAAAGTTCACCTGCGTGCCATAAAGTCTGCTTGGTTCAGCAAAGTCCCTTTTCTTTGATGATTAGTGCTTGCAGTTGCTCTGGATGGATGGATCCTTAGCCTGCAAGAATGAGAAGTTTCACCTGTAAATTCTATTGCTGCATTTCAAGACCACCAGTAGAGAATGTCCCATCAGCCCTTCCAGGGATGTTGTACATTTTAATTCTTTTTACAGCAGGAAAATACTCCTATTTTAGAGATTTTAATCTTCATTTTATGAGGTTTTTAATATCTTTCTGAAGTTAGAGAAATTTCATCCTATGAAAATGGAAAGAGAGGCTGAGATAAAGCTGTCCTTGGAGACAGATCTGAAAGGCATCTCCTCTTCATGACATCTCCTCTTATATGCAGAGACTGGAGGAGGCAAAGCAGAATTTTTACGCTCTAATGTTGTATTTCCATGTCAAATACCAGCCCATAGTGTTAGGCTGCAGCATTTCCCACCTTTGTACTGACAGGGAACTAAAGTCACCTCTGTCCGTTCAGGAGAAAAGATGGATTGGAAGTTGTGCATAAATAGAGAGTAAAGGTCTTCACAGCAGGATATATCTTAGACTTTAATTTCAGATATTTTTTCATAGTGCAAGATTAATTAGACAGAGACAAAAAGAAACATTAAAATGCCTACAGTTCACACATACTACATGTTTTAAAATCCATTATTCTACATTCCACATTGAGGGATAAAAAGAAAATATTGTTGTCAATTATAAAATGCTAAAGATAGCTCTATACTTTTTAAATGAACAATGATAAAAGCCTTGAAAAATTCCCTTTGATGTGAATGGAGTCTTCAGCATTTTGAAATACAATAAGATGGATTAATTGCTACTCATTAGGCAGCAAGTTGGGACAGCTTTGAATGCGCATTCTCTTCTTGGCATTAGCTATTGCCTGGCTGAAATAGCCAGCTTTTGTATTTACTCCTGTCTTCTCTAATAATAAGCAAATTGGAGATCAGGGCTAGAAACACTGAAGTGCTCTCTATCTTTTGTCCAGAACAATTGTATATTTTCATGATTTGTTTATCTTTTTTTGAGCTACAGCTAATTATTGCAAAGGTTATTTGAATCAATACAAGATCTGAGCAGAAATAACATCTGCAAAATTGCTTATTAAGAATCTATTTTATGTTAGTATTACTGTAATATCCATTTTGTGAGCAAATTGTTGTTTCTTCTCTTACGTTTTGTTTGGTTGTTGTTTTTTTTTTCTCAAAAGAAAAGTTTTGTATTTTAAATATTGGTACAGGTTTTAGGGCTTCTTGAATAATGCTATGTTCTGTTGTGCTTACTTTTCCTCATATTGTCTTAGATTTTTTTTTCCCAAAATCATAGATAACATGGTATTCAAAGCCCCATTTATCAGTCTAGGCTAACAGTTTTTATTTTTTGCTGTAGAACTTGTTTGAACTGATTGATTGAATTATTATTCTGTTTATGTTGGATTAAAAGAAAGTCAAGCACAAATCCTTTTGTGCTTGTCATGTAGAACTCCTGTTTCATGTAGGGCTTTTATAGATATTAAGATTTATAATTGGATAATACTGGAGAATTATTATTATCTAATTTAACTATGTATTTTGCATTCCAAAACTAATGGGTGAAAAGTAAACCTCAAGGGCCTGATTCATTAAAAGTTATATAGTCTCCTTGCATTAGATTCTTAGTACTTATGCCTTCCAAAAACAAAGTGTTTGCAACTGCGGCCAGAAACAGTCAGCTAAAACATGGGGCAGATCCTGGTCTCCATTACAGTGATGATATTTTAGGGGTTTAGTGAAACTAAACCAGATTTCCACTAATTGTATTCTAAATCCACCTCGATAACACTCATTACTAATTACGTACCACAGCACAGAAGACTTTTTTTAAGGGAAGAGGAAGGCAGCAGTCTAAGAGTGCAGTCTGTTACTACAGTGTCATTCCTGGCCAGCAGCAATCCCATCAGAGCTCATAAATTAAGTAGGGTCAAGCCAGGTCAGGGCCAGATGGGACATATCCAAGGAATACATTAAGCTCCAGCAGGATTTAATGATTCAGTAGGAGATACTGTCCCCCCAAGCCTCTGTCGAGCCTCGGCACAGGACTCTGCAGCGTGCTGGGCCAAACTTCTATTTTATGTACATCAGTGTAAACCTCATGGACCCAAAAGGGTTTATTCCAGCTTTACACAGCAGCACAAGTGAGACCAAACCCAAACCCCTTCTGTCTTGGACGAGATAGGAAATCGAAGTCTTAACTATTTGCAGTCATTAAAAATCCCACAACATTCCTGTTCAGAGTAGGGGTGTTAACCCATTTATCCTGGCCAAATTCCAACCTGGGTAATTACGGTAATCTGCCTGTTTAAATTATCCCTGCCGTTTTAATTGGATATATTACTACTCTTGCTGCCTAAACTGTGATGTAATACCATTGTGTGTTATTAATCAGTTACCAAGTTTCATCCCAGAAGTGGCCACGTTGCAGTGATAGGTAGAGGGACTCTACCTACCACTCTCCAGATATGAGCACTCTCCATTACAGTGTAAAAAATCTCCAACATGTACTTGTTTTTTTAAGTGGCAGACAAGCTAGTATTTCAGTTTAAATAAACAGCTTTAAAATGTGGTTTTCCCATTTGGTTTTGAAGACTACGAAGTCTGCCTGATTATACAAGCATAGGCCACCACCTTGCAGCTCTCCAAAACATTCCTGGAGCTGCAGGTGCTCTTTTGCCAGTGGAAGTCAGGACCTCTTACATATTTGTATTTGATTTTGAATTTGATTTCTGTCATGTTTGAATGTGAAGTTACAGTTATTTTGAGAAAAACTGATTTTCCAACTATGTAGAGGTTCCTAAGCCTACAAAAGGTGAAACTTCCTGTTGATGTGTGTTGGCCTGAGTCTGTTGATGTCCAGTGGAGCTGGCAGATTTGTCACCATTGGGAAACTTTGTAGGATTCGTTGAAACTCCTCAAGACTAGCCCTATTGCAAGGGCTGTATTTCTGAGCTGTCATTCTAAATGTTTTTGCTTTCTCTCCATCCTCCTGAAGATATAATCAGTCAAAGAGGATGAGATGAATGGCCACCACAAAATTCAGAACATTCTAGGGTGAAAAGCAGCAATTGGCAAGAAGGAAGGCACATCCCTCTCACGTCATAAAACAAAAGATGTTTTCTCCCTTAAAAAATCCCTGTCACTGTTCCTAAAATTCAGGATTCTCAGACTCACTGCTACTGGCAGCTAAGAGCTCCATAGAACAGAAGGTCTTGAAAGAAGTGTAAATCTTCAAAAGTTTTTCTTTAGTTTCTTCTGTTACGGTGGGATATACCTGCCGTAAGTGTTGCCATGTAGAAGTTGGGTGTCCAGGCTCCTATTCTAGTCCTTGAACAGCAATCACATTACAGAAAGTAATGCACTCCAGTTGGTTTCGATGCCTGGTAAGGAAGGAATACATTGTCTCCTGTAGGTGCTCACTGCTCTAACAGTAGCAGAGGGATAGCCAGCTGGCTTAGACTGGAGACTTTAGATGGCTAAAGCAAGGAAAGATGAACTATGTCACAGATATATAGTTTCCTCTGGGCTCATGCAACTCACAGGTATGGACTTTTACACCCCTAACAGAGCTTTTACTTTTAAATTCTCCTTTAGTTTAGATCCAGCTAATAGTAAGGCCATTATAGCAGCAGAACAGTATGAGTTTGGGAACTTGGCAGGAGCACAGGCACTGGCTGCACCTTCATGTGGAGGCACTGGCATGGCTGGTTGCAGCCAGGAGACAGTGCAGGAGAAGAGGCATTATTCTGGAGAATAACAAGGTAGACACAAAAGCAGCGCTTAAATAGTTTTGGAGGTTGCTAGGACCCAGAGGCACACGTGTCTCTTGAATCATGCGTTCCACACACAGAGTATCAATCCCCTGTATGTTTCATTTTATTATGATTCATCAGGCTGCGGGTGAGGCTTGCGTGGTTTGGCATTTCCAAGCCAGCTCACCTAAAAAAAAAAAAACGGGGGGAAAATGAACAGAAAAGTCTGATGCGGCTATCATCTCCATATTGCTTAAGGACATCTCCTGATTTTCATGTTTTCATGATGGAGGGTCTTTCTCACTGTGCAGGAGGGTAGAGGGGTCGGCTTTCTGGTGAGCTGCTTAAATCTCAGGATACTGCCATGTCTTGACACCCACCAAAGCATTTTTTAGCCCAGTGGTCTGCAGATATCCAAAGGCAGGCAGTAAAACATGTCATGCACAAACCTCCTGTGCACAGCCTCCTGCCCTGGGGCAGGCAGAGGTGAGTGCCAGTAGCCAGCAGAGCCAGAGCTGACTTCCAGCTCTTGCCCAGTGAATATGGGAAAGCTACAAGTTGGAGAAACGACTAAGTTTTGTTTACGCCCTGATGGGTACTGTGTCCCCCTGCCTCCCACCCAACACACAGGAACAGGACAGAAGCTGCTCTGTAAATGCACTATCAGCCAGTCCCGAGGCTTAGACAGGTCAGAAAGCAGCGCCTGGTGCCGCTGTGCGGGTGGCAGCACAGGTGAGGCTGCAGGTGTTAGTGCTGCTGCAGGCAACACCGCAGCAGATCGTCGCACTTCGAGCTTGCACCCGGCGAGGTGCAGACTGGGGACCCTGTGGGAGCAGCTACTCCCCTGCTCCACCTGCCGCTCTCCCAGGCTGCATCCCACAGAGGCACCCACAGGGAAACAAGCTCAGCACAGGGAGGTGAGGGTTATTTCCCCCCAGTGTTTTGTTATTTTTTTTTTTAATCTTTTTTTTTTTTTTTCTTTTAATGAATCAGTCCCTAGGTGAAAATAATGCATTTGTTTAAAGCTGATATTTAATGTTGAGCAAACTGCTCTTCCTTTGTCACATACTATTTTGTTCATATTTTGCTAAGAATCTGCTATTCTACACAAGCATTTTAATAAACTGTTTGTTGTTGTATCCAGGTAACAAGCATGGTAAGTATTTTAACTAAACCAAGTATTATGTACCTTAGCTGTGCTTGGCAGAATTTTTGGCTAGCTTTTCCTGTACTTTCAGCCTGTGCTGTTTCTAAAGGAGCTATTCAAAGGAAGAAACTGCTCACCTATAGTACTACTACATACAAACTTTAGAGGGAGCATATGTGCAAAGTCATATATCATATATAAAAGCATGCATCTCTTGCCAGCATGCTTGCTACTTTGCTTGTAAAATAAAACCAGAAAAAAAACCCAACAAAAAAATCCTTGCCTAATACTGCTTGTGTTCCTTCATTCTGAGTCACGTACCTAAATATTAGCACTTATTAATACAGTACTTCCGAATGAGGAATCCCACTTTACCAGATAGTAACATTCTGTTGTTTACTTATTTTACCTGACCTAAGATATCCACTTAGTTAACTCTGTTGCATTAAGAGGCTTTCCTTTTCTATTCTGTGATCATATGTGATTGGCAGTGACTAGGATTCCAAGTGCTGCTCTAATACCAGTAATTGATAACAACCCATCTTTTCCTAAACTTGTTCCCATATGCTTGAAAACAGCAGAAATTTTATGGCTGGTTCGTTTCTTTGGGAACACTGTAACTCAGTAAAATACCACAATTGGAACTTTAAAATGTTATTTATGGTTTTGTCATCTAACTTTTAAAATACTTATCATAAAACAGAATCCAAAATATTTCTAAACCTGTAAGCATGAAGCAAAATCTGTCATTGTTTGCGAGTCAGTCACAGTTCTGTGTTCTCTTTTTACAGTGTAATACAAAAGGCAAACTTCTCTTAGATTTAAATGATAGAGCTCAAATCTCCATGCTCCCTGTCCTCCAGGCAGAGCCTTAGCAGCAGATCGTGTTTAGTCCAGCCTGATTTAAAATCAGCAGAATTTGCCCAGATAAACAAATGGGCGGTAGTTTGCTCTCCTAGAGCTTCCTGCATGTTGGCAGAGCAGACTGTGAGAATTCAGGTCTACCATGCATGTCTGAGAGGAGGTTTTGCCTTGAGGTAGTTTAAGTGTTAGCCTTCGTGCTGTATTTTTTTTTCCTGCATGGTTTGCTATTTTTGCATTTTCTGTGTGGCTTTTTAAGTTTTTAGTTATGTGCTTGTAGCTGCAGTTATTTAACATCATTTGCCGTGCCAAATGTTTTAAGACTCCTTGTAATTGTCATATTAAAGGATCAGACAGCAAAGGACAAAGCACTCCAGCACATGGCAGCAATGTCATCAGCTCAGATAGTCTCAGCTACTGCTATTCACAACAAGCTGGGCCTGCCAGGAATTCCCCGTCCTACATTTGCTGGGGCACCTGGGGTAAGTTGTTAGCTGAGTCCCAAAAAAATCCCTGTATTCTCTAACAATATTCAGTAGAAAACTAAGACTGAATGAATGGATTAATGCTTTCACTTGAGTTTGCAAAAGGAATCATGCTTGTTCAGAAATATCTAAAATCTTTCAACAAAGAAAACAATTGTGGGTCTATTTGTTTGTTTTTCCTCTTTCAGTTTTGGCCGGGCATGATTCAAACGGGGCAGCCTGGATCCTCGCAAGAGTAAGTCTGAAAATTAAAATATGCTTCTATAGCAGTGTGGGGCTGGCTTGTTCACTTTGCTGCCAGAGGATGTCAATGAGGCAAGAGCTTGCAAATTTTTCTTAAAAAGAGGAAAAGATAGTTTTAGGGAAAGAAAGAGTCTTTACAGTGATGTGAACTCACATTCAAAAAGTTATAAGTGATCCCAGACCTCAAAGCTGAGGCTAAATACCTGATGAGCACACTCCTTTTTCTCCCGTTGCATGGTGAGATGCAATGATAATGCCAGGAAAGCAAGCACCTGTTAAGATTTTGCCTATGAAGAAGTTTCCAGGACAAATACTTCCATCCTCTTTTAAATATATGAGCAATCCTGGAGGCAAGGTGGGTGTATTTTCCTGCAGGGCAGGAGAAGGCTGCATGAGGCCCATTAGTGGTCAGTGGGGTTGCCGCCCTTTGGCACTGTGGTAGCAGCAGGACCATATGGAGAAGGAAGCCTTTGCCCCTCTGTCAGGTGTTACATTTTCAGCCCTGCAGTGGTCTCTGGAGCATTGTTTCGCAGCCTTATTTTTCAGCTTCTCCCCACCTTATTCCCTTGAGGTCCAAGGGAGTCTTTGTGCCCCTGTAGTTCAGTGTCCTCTGGATTTATTTGGAATCAAAGCAATCACCATCCATGTCTGCTGTGACACAACAGGCAGGTTAGGTTTCCTGCTGCATGACTGAGCACAGATGAGCTCCTCACTTTAAGATGTTGGGTGTAATTCTCATCCCTCTCTCTCTCTATTACCTCTTTACCGTCTGTTTGTTAAATAAGCTGTGCAAGGAAGAAATACGTTTTTGGGTAAAGGTCAATAACCACATATTGTCTTATACTATGTGACTTTAATGGAATTTACTGTGGATGGCATGGTGTATGATCTTTCTGTAACTCTTTATTCCAGTGTAAAGCCATTCGTTCAGCAGGCCTATCCTATACAGCCATCAGTCACAGCTCCCATTTCAGGTAATTCTTCCATTTATACTCTCCTTTAAAAAGACTTGAATTGTGGACTGAATGTGATGTATTAGTTCCTGAGATGGACAAAGCTGCAACGTTCCCTGTAGCCAAACCAAACTCCAGTCCCAACACCCTGTTATCTGATTATATCTGAGGGAAAAATCATTGGGTTTTGGGGCTTTTGGGGGAGGGGGTGTTACATTTTAGGTAGGAAGCACTAATACATATTCAAGGAGTTGTGATATGTGATCTTCAGTCAGCGCTCCATATTGCAGGAAAATGCTTTGTAAATAATTAGTAGCTTTTAATAGCTAAATCTTATTTACATCTGTAATGAGAATAAGCCTTAATTTATTTTAAACGGAGGCTAAAAACTCTTCCAAAACCGTATATGTTTAGCCTTAAGTGTAAAACATCTCTGTGTATCTGGTTGTTGATAACTCTTCCCCCTGCTGAAGGTCCTACTCTGCCTGGTACCACTTTGATAAGTACCTAATGTTTATTCTGACTTCCATTGTTCAAACTGATCAAGCCTTTCCCATGGCTACTTCCCTACTCCTTTTTCCAGGCTGGTTTCATGGCTTATTTCAGGAAAGATCATTATTTCTTTGCACATGATAACTAGTTTTACGTCTCCCTTGCCAAATGACACCATGCTTCTCACTCTGAGCTGCGTTTTCTGACTTCTACCCAGTTCTTTATGATCTTCTAACTTGCTGCTATTTAATGCTTAAAACTAAAGCTGTCTTTCTGCATTCCTGATTACTTCCTTTTTCTTGATATTCCTAATTTATAATATCGTTTTCTAAGGCAGACATTTTGAGTCATCATCTTTTATTCTTCCATGTTTTCTCTCAGAATAGGATTATTAGTATTTCTATATCAGTCAAGATTCATTCATGAGTTTTTGCTTCATTAGAATTCCTGTTCATGTCTAACCAGTCACGTTTGTAATTCCCTGTTTCATACAAGCCTCACACCCTCATTGCCTAAATTTGAGGGTTGGAGGCAGGTATCATACTCCCATTACGGGATATGGACACATGCTACCTGTGACCTTTCCCCAGTTCTCAACTTAGTTCAGGATTATCTTTGTTTTCTAACCTTTGGTGCCTCTCCCCTGCCTTCCTTGTGCCTGCACCTCTCCCAAGATCGTTTTGCCTTTGAGCTGCTGCCTTTCCCTTCTTCCTTTACTGTTTTGTTTCCTTCTCATCTAATTTTCCATGATGAGGAGCAAGAGATAGCATTTATTCCTTCTCTTGAGGTGAATTAGAGATGGTTGTTAACATCCCTTCTCCCTCTAGATCATGTCATTCCCTCTTTATTATCAATTTAAAACTTTCTTTTTCTTTTTAGGGTATGATTCAGCTCTCTACAGTAATTATTTATTATCTGTAATATAATGCTGCCTAAAAGCTCCAAAAGAAGTCAAAGAGCCAGTGTCCAAATACTTAGTAAGAGACAGTCCCTGCCTTGCAAACCTTATACTCTAAATAGGAGAGGGGAATTGAGAGTGGCAGAAGAAACAGGCAAAAAGAGAGGTGATTTACTTGTAACATGTGGCACATTAGGAGCCAGAAATGGAGGCCACTTCTCTTGACTCCCAAGGCAGTAATGTCTCCTGTGAGTCTTGCTGCCAGTTTCTGAGGAAGGGTCAGCTGTAGGTCTACATGAAGCCTCTATAAATCTCTGTAATCTAGTATATAATATAAACAAAAATTCTACAGTGAGTTACAGCCCCAAGGAAACAAAGAAGTAGATCTGTTGTTCACATCATTGTTAGCTTGCTGGGTTGGGACCTCTTTTTCTACATATTGTTCTGAGTTTTTCCAATTTTAGCTCATTCTGAATTCATTATTTGCTAAAATTAATATAAACATCCAAGGGCTACATGGGTAATTCTCGATTATATTTAATTTAGAAAGCATAAACTGAGGAATTGTCAGCTTCTTCATGGAGATGGTTCCTTTATTTTAGGTTTTGAGCCTACGTCAGCTCCAGCTCCCTCAGTCCCTGCGTGGCAGGGCCGATCGATTGGTACGACCAAGCTCAGGCTGGTGGAGTTTTCGGCTTTCCTTGAACAGCAGAGGGATCCTGAATCAGTAAGTGTTGCCCTTGTGTTTGCTGACCTTCAGCTTTTCTCTGTTGTTCCCCACCCCATGAGGATGCTCTCCAGGGTTAAGCCTGATGGAATATACCTGGTGTTTCTGCATTCGCTGCTGCTCAATGTAATACTCCTTTCACTGTAGTACTGTATTTTCCTTTCTTGCCCTCTTTTTCCTCATTTGCAGAAGTGAGAGCCCTCTCTGAAAGCAGGCACAGTTCTTTATGGTGCCTGTCTCGCTGTTGACCTAGTTTAGCAGTTGTACCAAATTGCATCGTGGTTTTGGCAATAGTTCAGTACTTAAACTTTAGCATAAAGCCTAATCTATTTCCTAACAGAAAAAAAATTAAGGCCTTGCATAGAAACTATGCATATTCTTCTCAATATCTGACGTTTGGGGTAGCCTGCGAGTATCAGGATTGTCACTTTTAGTTCCAGCCTCCCAAACATGTACCATTTAACTGTATCACCTTTTTTTTTTTTTAATTGAGGTTACCTATCTAAATGTCTAGTCCTTCAGTCTTCCTTGACCTTAGGGTCCAATCCAAGGTTGGGGATTTTTTTTAGGAAGTTTTTGGATTTGTTTTGATTTTTAGTCTGCATACTATACCTGCAAGTGTAGTTTACAAAGTTGTCTGTAATTTTCATTTACTCCCGTAAGCCTTGAACTTTGATATTAATCATCATATATTTACCAAGAACATTTGTTAGTAGCCTAGCACTGTTTCTACTGCATCACAAATAAATCAAAAGAGCTTCTTTCAGCTCGAACGTGAGAATTTTTACTGAGATAATTTCTGAAAAGCAAATACTGTCATGAATGGGTGATATAGATGGGCCATTCTTGTTCAGATTCCTGGTAAAATACAGTAGCTTGGAGCAGAGAGAAGCTATGAAGCTGTCACTTGCTCTTTACAATTCAGCACTGGAAACCATAGCATTTATGGGCTCTGGCCAGGGGTGTTATCCAGGGAGTGTTTACCCTTCATAATGGAGGTTGGAGGCATAGCCCAGAAACCTTACAACAGAGGAATGCACCTGGTAGAGAAACTTCCCAGTGAAAATATATCATATCTCATGATATGATATACTAAATATGTGGCAGTGTGTTGGTTTGGTAAATGTCACGTTTTGCCAGGTTGAATTAACTTTGAGGGTGGAAATGTTTGACAGCAGGTACAGTCATCTCAGCACTTACATGACTGTTAGATACTGCATGGTTTCCCTGGGATCCCTCTGCCTTCCCATGGCCCTGATTCCCACGCTGTCCTGGCAGTCTTGGCTCTGCTGGGCTAAAGCTTCATCTTAGTGTCCTCCAGACTGATCCACAGCTGGAATGCCTTCCCCATCTCCAGCCCCGAGTTCGTCCAGACAAAGATTTGATTTTCTGGTGCAGAAACACAACATCCATGTTTTCCCATCAGGCGGCCTTATCGATACACAGCTTTCAGAGTCCTTGGCTCGCTGATCCCGTGTAATGTGTCCTGCTGATTTATGGGCTCTGCCATATCCAGATTGCTGCACACCAGGATGTTATGTGTGTGCCTTGAGGTTACTGGGAAAACAGGCTGTGGCCATGTAACACTCAGCATTACCGTGCTGTATGTGTATGAAATGGCATTTCTGTGTATTTTGATACACTGTTTTGCTAGGGTACCACATAATGATCCTTTTTCCATAGGTTTTTCTAACGCAAAACTATTTGCAAAACCCGTGGGCTTGTATGGTGTAGAGCCTCTGTGTATCTGTGTGGCTTTATGTAAAAGAGAGTGAACGGGAGTTCAGCAGCTAATTAACTTTCATGTCTTTCCCTCTAAAATCTCCCTCAAACCAAGTACACTCTTAACAGATAACATTGTGGTTGCCTGTCACACCACTGGTGTCTGTGACGTGAAACCAGCTGAGTGACGTGAAGATATTTGCAACATGACTGACAGACCAAAAATGAGAAGATGCTGCTTTGGCAGGGGAAGGAGCTGGGGGTCCCACTCTGCCATGGTGGCATGGCCCAGAGACGGTTGTTCTCACGCACGGTGTGTGGGCCGGTGGCTTGGGGATGTGCTGGGGCTCTCATTTTTCAGGTAGGTTGCAGGCTCTGGGGAATGCAACACATCCACTTGCATTGCAGAGAACGAGTGGAGGCCTGAGTAGAAACACAGTTACCCAGGTCAGCCCTGTAAATACTGTAAAGCCTTTTTTCGAGTAAACTAATATTATTTGGAATTCCTCAGGGTGCAGCAAGGTCCACCAGAGCTTGTCCCATCTTGGGAGCATACTGCTGAGAAACCCACCTTTTAAATGCAGAGCGTTTATGCAGGCTTACTAGAGACACAAGAGCATCAAACTACCCAGACTTGTTTTTGAAAAAAGTTACTCATGTGCTGTAACATTGCAAAAGTGAGACACGAAGATAAGTCAATTCCCAGTCATGTGTTAATCCCAATTTAGATCATTCTTTTCACCCATGGTGCAAGCACAGTGGGGCGGTGCTGTGCAAGGGCTGCGTGGGGACCACCTGGACTGGCCGTGTGCGTGCTGTGGGGAGCCAAGGGATGAGCCCTCATAGGCAGTGTGTCACCACCACTGCCTGGGAAAGGGGAGTCAGGAGAAGGGGAAGCGTTGTTTAGATCAAATTAAGTAAATTTGATTATCTGGATCTTAAATGAGGGCATAGAAAAAACACCCCCAAGGCAGTGTGACCAGTTCCCAGGGCAAATGCTGAAGGACATTTGCTGGGGAGGCACTGGTCAGAGGCACTGTTGCACGCCTGTCCGCAAGGACAGCTCGGAGCGGCCCTGCCTCCTGCCAGCCTTCCCCATCTCCAATGCACAGACTTTTCCAGCAAGCACCAGAAGTCCTCCTTGGAGGTGAGAGCCAACCCCCAGCCTCATTTAGTGGTGTTGAAGAAAATTAATTCTGCCTGTGGTTTTGTACATCTTGTGTTGGTGTGACACTTCATTGCAGATTTGGTTTGCGAAGCATAGGAATTTATTACTTTTTAAATAACAGAATTGGCAAGCCAGGCAAGGTGCATGTTTTGCACAATGTGCATGTGAAGTCGTATAGGCATGTGCTGTGGTTGCAGCATCTCCTGTATGCCTTTGTGCCTTTGCTGACCTCAGAAACGAATATGTGTATATGCTGCTACATGACAGCCATTTGACTTCTCATATATCTTCTGAAAAAAAGATAGTTGTGTGTTCATTCCATTTCTGTCTTTTTACAGAAAATGACATAAGTATTTTTTGACCAAATGTGTTTCCAACATTTTATTAAAAAAGCAGTGACCCTTCCTCCCTGTCTCCCTCAATCCAAAACCAGGCTAGAAAGACTCATAATAGCCAGGGCGAACAGACCGATTCCACCTGCAAATGTAACCTGGAAGTTTATTGGAAAAGTCTTACTTGACATGGCACCTGGGGCCAGGACTTGATGATCCTGGGAGGCCCCTTGCAGTCTATATTCCTTTACAGCAGTTAGAAATTCAGGTCTGTCTGCCTGTGGTGACTCCCTGTGACTTCAGTGGGTCTGTGCAGGGGCCCAAAGGTCCTCCAACAGGGATTCATTGTAGCAGTGGAGCCTTAAACATTTCTGGGGTTCTTCCAATGGCAATTGGTGTTTAAAAGTATAAAAGCCCCTCAATGTCAGGCAGTTATGTTAATTTAGAGTGGGCATTGTGGTGGGTCAGAAATGTGCTCCACAGAGTGTTGTCACTTGTGGAGGGCTGTTGACTTTTTTCCCTTGCCTAGCCACAAAATTGTTCCACTTACAAAAGAAAAAAATATAGAAAGGAAACAATAAGCAACCCTCGCTGTAACTCTGTGTGGCAGAAGGTAAGTCTGGGATACATAAGATAGCACAGTTGCCAAATGTTGAATACTTACTGCACTTCAGGATGGGTAAAATTACTCCTCCTTTTACATGCAAATCAATTCATTTTACAAACGTCAAGCTATATTTTCCTTTTGTGGCATTTTGTGCTCAAGTACAATTCCTAAATGGTGCGTAGAAGCTGTTCTTGTAGGTCCAAGCACCAGCATTTTAGTTACCTTTAATTATTGCCTACCCTATATAACTATATTGTCAACAGATTAACAAGTTTACATACCCATCTGTTGCTTTCAAGACAGGTTTTCCTTAATGGAGGCTTTCCGTTTTTACGGTAGTGCTGCTGTGAAAGTTAAGGACAAATGCTTAAACCAAGTAATCCCATATTCCCTGACTAATATAAACTGAGTATGCAAGCAGATTAGAAGGGATCTAAGCAACTGACTGTTACACAAGTAGCTATAAAATTCATAGACTATAACACTGAAATGATAATAATTCCCATTATTTTATATATATTCAAGATTGCTTTCCAGTCAGGAAAAAACCCTGCCACCACCCAACAGAAAAAAGCCCTTTCTTCTCTTCCTTTTTGAGGCTTCTCCCTATTGCTGCCACATTCATTTCAGCTGTGAGCGCTTCAGACAGCTTTACGTCTGAAATATCTACATAGGGCTATAAAGAACATGGCTGATGGGCATTTTCGGTATTAATCTACCTATCCAAACTGTCAGATTGTGCTGTTAGGTCCGCGTTTCAAAATGTATTTTAAAAAGTGGTGAAGAAATAAAATATTCTGTATGTTTTAATTCAGGTTTTATTGTTGTTGTAAAAGGGCTTTGTGAGCCCTGGGAGAATTGTGACTGAGAACCAGAAAGTGAAAGCAATTGCTCAAGGGCCATAAAACCAGCCTGCCATCATTAGCCAAATGCAGTAAAATTCACCAAAGTTAATCAAACCACCTAAGTGATGAAAAATAGATGAGACCTTTTCAAAAGAAGTCCTCCATCTTTGAACAATATCCATTGTTACAAGTGTTGTTTTTCCGTATTCCCTGTAAACAGTATAAAAAGCAGTTCAGCATTTCAGTGGTAAGGAAGTCCTTGGTTTAGCGTTTTTGTCGTGTGGAAGGATGAGGAAGCAAACCCACATCAGGATGAATGTCTGCAT